TCCCTCCACGCCGCGGCCGCCGCCAGGGAGGCCCCGCCCCCGAACGAGTCCCGGCTTCGAGTAGCGATGCGCATGAACAAAGCCATATCCTCCCGCAGTGGGGCTCGAGAGGGAAAGTAGTGCGCCGCCCTCCTCGTTCCGCTCCGCCGGGCCCTCTTGCTAATCCCGGGCATGAACCACCGGGCCGTCCCCTCTCTGCCCTTTGGTTTCGCTCCCTTCTCTTCTTCCCCTAATCGCCGAGTCCCAGGGGAAAACAAAAAACAGGGCAGATCCAGGAAACATGTCAATTACCTCAAAAGTGGCCCTGGAGCTGTCATTGAGGGGTAATAACCTAAGAAACGAGTCGTGACGCCAGCTGGGACAAAGGAACCGGGGCTCTTGCGTTACTCGGTACAGAGGAAGCCAGGCTGGTCCTGGCGGGAAGTAAATGCTGATCGTTGAGGACCCTGCCTCCCAGCGGAGGTGGGGAGGGGGGGCTTAAAACGAGCACCAGTCAGTACTTTGTTCTTGCAAAGAAGGGGGGCGGGGGGGGGGGAGGAGGGATGCAGTGACAGCCCTGAAGCAGGTAAAGGGAAGTGTGCTGGCAAAGCAGTGGGGATGGCCCTGGGGAGAAGTTGGGCTGTGCTTTGCAGGACATGGTGACAACCTTTGGGACACAGCAGAGACCTGGGGCTAGGATGGTCATGTCTGGGGACAGACTTTCGAGCCTGGAGCAGGATTTCCTACCTAGCAGTGGAGGACTGCAGTCTTCCTCCTGGCAATAATCTTAAAGCAATAATGCCAGCCTTTCTTCTGTAAGACTTTTCCCAGGGAACTGTAAATAAAATCTAGCTTGGTCCTCACTCCTGGTGTCTGAAATTGCAGGGGTTGGGAGGGTAGGACCTCTGTCTCTGATGACTGGCCCTTGTCTAGCTCCCTGCCATTAGCTACAGCGGGAGCTTTCTCTCCGCGGACCAAGGCATCATGCCTCTAGTCACTGCCAGCCACTGCCCTCGCCAAGGGCCCAGGTCCCGCATACCCCAGTCCCTGGTCCCTGGCTTTCTTCCTTCCTGTAGTCACCACATCCCTCAGAGCCCAGAGATCTGGCTTCCTAGTTTCGCTGCTCCTCCTTCTGACACCCTTGTCTTTGTTTTGTTTAAAGTTGCATTAGCCACACTTCTCGTCCTGTACTTCTCATCTCCCTTCTGATACCCACACAAATGCTGAGGAACTCTCTGGAACTCTCTGGAACTCTTTCATTGTGGCTGAATGAGAGGGGCTGAGCTGAGGCTGGGGCGTTGGGATTTGGTGAGGGAGAGGTAAGATGAAAACTGGCCTATGGTGGAGATGACATGGAGGGAGGGAGTTATCATAAAGGAAAAAGGGAAACCAGTGAAAAATCAGCTTTCAGGGAGGCAGAAAAGCAGACTCCAATGTGATCATGTCGGAAACGACCCTTAGTTTTCCCCCAAAGGACTTGGATTTCCCTGGGACACAAAGTGGGTGGAAAGTTACAACCCTTAGAGATCACAAGACAGGAGAGGATGCTCTCTGCCTTCCTTAAATTACAACCTCCCCGTCCCCCTTCTACCCATCCTCACCCTTTCCTTGATCCTGAAGCCGAGAGAGCAGCATAAAACCAATTTCCAAAAAGAGAAAAGTCAGCAGCCTGCGATTTGCTGGCTAGCAACCAACCAGATCAACTAATGAATACTTACATCCACTCCGAACATCTCCCACTCTTTTTGGAAGACTGTGGAGGAAACAACCAGGCACAATGGATGACTAACCCATGATTAGTTATTCTGTAATAAACATACAAGAATTCATAAATTCAAAATAGTATTCTCCTTAAATGGTTACTTTGGAGGACTCCTTCTTCATTTCAATAGAAATGTCTCCCCCCCATGCTCAAAACATTAAAAAAAAAAAAAGTCCTTTTAGGAATTACTTTCAGGGGCTGTTTGGAAAGCCCTCGTAAGAGACCTTCCTTTATCCATCGTCACACCTCATTTACCATATTTGTCACAGACTTCATTCATTAACTTAAGTATTTAGCTCCTGAGTCCCACTATGGTACAGGGGTACAGTGGTGAGCAAAACCAGACTCATAACAACCTTTGCAGAGTTTACAGATGGGGGAGAAACCAACAAATAGCCAGCAAACAAACACAAGTTGTCCAAAGTCCAGAGGTGAGCGCGGGCCACTTCCAGAGTCTACAGTGGCATCTGACAAGGTGAGGCCATGCTCAGTGGTGAAGGGTCAGCAGATGAAAGCAAGAGGGCTAGGAGAAGCATGCAGAAGGGAACATGCACGCCAAAGGTCTCCAGAGCTAGAGGGTGCCAAGAGCGGATGGAAGCAGAACGAGAGACTCGGGTAGTTCGGAACATACAAGACCACATCAGGCACTTTGGAATATTATCTTCATCCTAGGGGCACTAGGAAGCCGTTCCTATCAGTTATTCAGTGATACATACAAATCACCCCTCCCCCAAATTTAGTGGCTCGAGACAACTTTTTAAAACTTTATTTTTCCCCCCATTATTCTGTGGTTTGGCTGGCCCCTCTGCTCTTTGCACCTGGGCTCACTCATGTGGCTGGAGTGAGCTGGCAGCTCAGCTGTGCGAGAACATTAGCTGGCCTCATTGCTACATCTGGCCATTGGCTGAGACTTCTCAGCTCTCCATGCAGCCTCATCTGCTGGTAAATTCCCTTACATAACAGACTCAGGGCCGGGATCCCAAGGGATGAAGGCAGAAGCTACAAGGCCTCCAACGGACCGTGCCCCAGAACTCACACAACATCGCTTCTGCCACATTCTGTTAGTCACAGGAAGTCATGAGCTGAGCCCAGATTCCAGGGATAGAGAAACAGACCCCCAATTTTTGCTGGGAGAAGCAGCAATGTCACAGGGCACAGGAATTTGGGGCTACTGAACTGAACTATCACCACATGGAAAGGTTTTAAACAGGAATGGAAATGATGTGTGGTAAGACCTGGTTAGGCTTGAGATCTGGAAAGGTCACTGGTGATCTGGGGAGGAGGGTCCTACCAGGGTCTGAGCAAGAGATGATGGCAGCCTGGACCCGGCTGATGTGCTGTGGGTGGAGAAAAGTTGGCGGAGCAAGGAGACATTTAGGAGGCAAAATGAACAGGGCTTGCTGAGAAGTTGGTAAAGGAAGGTGACAGCAGCGGGGAGGGGGTGGTTAAGGATGACACTTTGGTTTCTGGAGCTGGGTAAAGAAAGACGTGGGAAACACTGGAGGAAGTGAGGACTTGGGACAGAGAGATCATCACTTTGGGTTTCTGAAGACAAGCAAGAAAGGAAGGTCTGGAACTTAGAGAGGCTTTGACTGCCAAACATTTTGCGTAGAACATTTATATAACACATCTACCCTAAAAGTTTAAGATGTAATCATCTACCAAAGATATCAAAAGATGTGAGGACAGGGTGCCTGGGTGGCGCAGTTGGTTAAGGGTCTGCCTTCAACTCAGGTCATAGTCTCATGGTCTCAGTGTTTCAAGGTCATGGGACCAAGCCCTGAGTCAGGCTCCCTGCTCAGCGGGGAGTCTCCTTCTCCCTCTCCCTCTGCTCCTCCTCTCTCTCTCTCTCTCTCTCAAATAAATAAATAATCTTAAAATAAGTAAATACAAGATGTGAGGAGACCTCTGACCAACATTCCAAAGAGAAGTTGCCAGTTTTGTTGGCATAAGTCGATAGCTTCCCCCACGTGACTGTGAAGACACTACAACTCAGAAGTTCTGAACTATTTGCTAGCAGATAATGGTATACCTCCTTGCAAGAGAGTGTCTGTCAGGGCTGTGGCAATCTAGTTAAAGAACAAAACCAGCTCCCACTGCTTGTTAAAGCCAGTCCATGCGATGTGCGTAGAGAAGCCCACCTTGTACTGACTGAGAGATGGGTGTTGCCAACGTTGGGTACTGAGAAAACGCAATGTACGCTGGGCGCACAGGATAAAAGCAGCAAGCACGTCCTGTTTTCTGTGGCCAGGCCCTGTTCTGAGCACCTTGCTCATTCAATACCATTAATACCCACACTGTCCAGATGAGGAAACCAACCGGCCCAGAGAAGTTAGGTCACTTGCTTGGGGTGTCACAACCCCTGAGTGCTGGAGGCTAGGATCTGACCTCAAGCCAGCCGGCCATAGAATCTGCCCTACTATCTTCACAACAGAACCTGGGCGGCAGGTCCGGGAGAGGTAGGGTGGGGAGGCAGTCGGAGGTGGGTGTGGTACCACGAGGCAGCGTGGGCTGTGTGTTATGTCCTGTTTACTCGTGGGGCAAATCACACCCTGAGTCAGAGCTCAAACTGGGCTGCTTTGCTGAAACCATCATTGTGTGTGGGTGTCCAGGCCTGGCTACTCCAGAAGGAAAGGATTCCCAGCATTCCTGGGAGGAGGCCCATCCAGGATCCTGGCATCCAGGTGTCTCCGTAGACTGAGATGTCAGCTGAGAGGCGAGCAGTTTGAGAATGAGTCTGGGAAACTGGCCTTACGAGAAGCCAGGGAGGGCGTGTATAATACAGCGAGTTGAGGGCTGCGTCCGTGCCAGTGTCCAGGAGCCCATAAAGATGGGCGGAACGGGCAGTGCCATTGGCTCCGACGGTCTGTCTGGGTGGGGCTGTGAATGGAGAGGGCGCAACTAAACCAGCAGGCCAGGCGGGCTGCGGGGACCTGACCAGTGGGCAGCCGAGGGCTGGGGTGCTGCAGGGTCCTGGAGATTTGCACACAGACTAGGGGAGCGCCAGCTCGGTGTTGGGGGGCGAAGGAAGGCGCGGAGGGCGGGAGGGGCGGCGCGCCCCCCACCGTCCCCCGCCGCGCAGCCCGGGGCCGCTGATCCGGCTAGGCAGTCGCTGGCATACCCCGCTTCGCGCCTCCGCCGCCCCCACGCGTGCCGCGGCGGGGAGCGGCCAGATGGCAGTGCGACGCCTCGCGGGGCGGGGCGGGCTCTCGCTATTAAAAGGGGCGGGAGGCGGCGGCGCCCGCCCCAGGAGCCGACCCAGGCGCGAGGAGGGCCGGCTCGTCGCGTCGGCCGAGCCCGCGGCGGGCACCATGCAGCTCCTGGTGAGGGTGCCGTCCGTCCCGGAGCGGGGCGAGCTGGACTGCGCCATCTGCTACCGGCCCTTCAACCTAGCGGGCCGCGAGCCCCGCCGCCTGCCCGGGACGGCGCGCGCCCGCTGCGGCCACACGCTCTGCACCGCCTGCCTGCGCGAGCTGGCGGCGCGCGGCGACGGCGGCGGGGCAGCCGCGCGCGTGGTGCGCCTGCGCCGCGTCGTCACGTGCCCCTTCTGCCGCGCGCCCACGCCGCTTCCGCGCGGCGGGGTCGTGGAGGTCTCCGTGGACCCGGACTTGTGGTCGCGGCTGGAGGACAGAGCGCGGGCGGAGCGCAAGCCGGATGAGGCGGGCGGCACGGTACCGGGAGGCGGCGACGCCGACGACGAAGACCAGAGAGAGGAGGGGGCGGGACCCAGGAGCGCGGGCTGGCGCGCGCTCCGGCGGCTGGTGGAACGGGTGCTGGCGCCCGCGCGCCGCTGGCGGCGGCCGCTGCCTAGCAACGGTGAGGGGCCTCGGGGGGAGGCGCCGGGCAAGGGGGAGTGGGGGGCCGGTGTGGAGGCGCCCGGGATAGCCGCGGGAGGCTGCGGGGGTCTGAGGGTGAGGTGCGGCCGCCGGGGGCGGGGTGGGTGTATCCGGGGTCACGGGGGAGTCTCGGGGGGCCGGTGTTGGGGGCGCTCTCGGAGGCGACGGGATGGGGCGATCGCCGGGGGAGGCTCCGGGGACAGGTGAGTGGACTCCCGGGGAGGCGGGGTGGGGGGATGCCCGGGAACGCCGGGGGAGGCTGCGGGGGCCGGTGAGGGGGCCCCGGGGGAGATGGCGGGGTTCGGGGGCTCCCGGGGGAGCTGGGGGGTGGGGCTGGAGGGTGAGTGGGGCAGTCGGGGGAGGCTGCGGGGGCCTGCGGGCGCCGGGGGGCGGCGTGTAGCAGGGGTGGCCGGGAGAGGCGTCGGTGGCCGGGCACCCGGAATCGCCCGGGGAGGCTGCCGGGGTTGGGGTGGGGGCGGCCGGGATCGCCAGCCTGGCCGCACCCTCCCGCTGACACTGACCCTCCCCGTTTCCCCCAGTGCTGTACTGTCCGGAGATTAAGGACTTGGCTCGCATGAGCCCCTGCACGCTGTGACCGCGGCGGAAGGAAGGTGGGCGCTGCATTCTCGAAGCGTGCTGGAGTGCAGGGGTGAGGCCAAGGCGACCGCGCGCCGGTCCCGGGATTGGCTTTTGCAGGAGTTAAGCCTAGGGCAGGAGGGGTCGCCCTAGCGAATGTATCCGGCAACACGGTGTACTGACTGGGCCAGGCTCGCGTCCTCGGGGGAGAGGCCCCGGGATGTGGAGACGGGTCCGCATTCTGGTGGGAAGGACAGAGAGCGTGTCCTTAGCTGTGACTGGCTTTTGTCCAGGGCAGCTCTGGCCAGTTGGAACAATCGGGCCCATTCTAGCAATTCTGTGTCAGTGGTTTTAAATTTTTTAAAAAGCTAGGGCAAAGAGGCCGATTTTTGTGTCCTGTTACTGTCACTTCTACGGCATGTTAGCTGAGAAATTTTTTTTTTTTTTTTTTTTTTTTCCAGGGCTGGTATGCTCGTCTGCCCAGAAGGGTAGTGTGTTCCTAAAATTATTGAGATGTCTCTGTGCCTCGCTTCATTTCAGTCTCTCTTCAGCCTGTGAGGGCAGGTATCAGGGTCCAAAGGGCATTCATCTGAGGCATCTAATTAGGGCCAACCAGGGATAGGAAAGCCATTTGGTAAAGGCATAACATTTTAATCTTTTTTTTTTTTTAAAGATTTTATTTATTTATGTATTTGTCAGAGAGAGAGCGAGCGCACAAGCAGGCAGGCAGAGAGAGAAGCAGGCTCCCTGCTGAGCAAGGAGCCCGATATGGGACTCGATCCCAGGACTCCGGGATCATGACCGGAGCCGAAGGCAGTGGCCTAACCAACTGAGCCACGCAGGCATCCCTCACATTTTAATCTTTTGATTTATCTGTCATCTTTACAATCACACGGAGAACACGGTCACGACTGGAAAAAAGATGTGTATCCTACAATTAATTTTTTTTTTTTTTTTAAAGCAAGCACTCAAGGGGGCGGGAAGGACAGGAGAGGGAAAGGCACTCAGCCAGGCACTCCACTGAGCCTGGGACTTGAGCTCATGATCCTGACTGACACCATGACTGGAGCTGAAATCCAGTCGGAAGCTTAACCCACTCAGGCACCCCTTATCATGCAGTTTTAAGCTCGTGCCCCATAATTGGACATCTCCTCCTGGACTCGGTGCTATTTTTAAATCCTATAAATACCTTAGGAAAGTAGAGTAGAGTGCGGGAGCCGCAGCTGCATCACTGGAATTACAAAATCTCCAGATTCCCCTTCAGACTCTGAGCCTTAACCAGAACCCCGGGCGATGTGTAGGCAGGTAAACATCGCAGCGGCACCGACTGCGGTCCTAGACTTGCTAGAACCTCCCCTTCTGTGGGGCCAATATTTGGAACAGTTGGTATAAAGGATATAAATTTCATTGGAGGTTGTAAAGGGATGTTCTGTGACTGAAGAAGTCTGTGTGTGTGTAGTTTATTTATTATGTGACATTTTCCTGTGTTAAAAATGTGAATTTACGAAATATAAACTTCCATTTTTATAACCGTATCTTGGCATCTTCCTGTGCTCGAGTTTGCTTCCGTGTTCCCTCTTGGGGGAGGCCCTTCTCAGTGCTCCCTGGAGCGCAGCCCCCGCCCTCCCAGGTCCTGTTCCAGAATGTCTGCCTTTGTTTTCTGAGGATGGGTTTGGTGGTGGGAGGGCAGAGAGAGCAGTGACTACCCTGTCACTGTGGTGGCTGCCGGCGTTCGGGGGGAGCGGGTACTCAATACACGTTTATTGCATTTAGCCTCAAAACCGAAGTGTCTGGTCCCAACCCCTGAGAAGGTCTGGGGGTAGTGAGCACATGTCAGGAAGGTACTAGCAGTTCAAATCTTCCGCAAGGATGACCCGGCCCCCCAACTCTTTAAAAAAGGGGGGGGGCTCTGCTGCAGACCTGGGGTTGCACCTGCGGAGCTGTACTGACCTCTGCTGACTCTTGGGGGAACTGGGCAACTGGAAGGCAGAAAGAGGCTCCGGAAGGGATGAACGTGAGGCGGTTCAGATCCTGCCAGGAGCCCTCCCGCTTCACCTCTGAGGTAACGCTTAGATCTCGTTGAGTTTCCCAGTAAGCCCTGCCATGGCCCTGCTCTCAGCCTGAGGACCTCGTGGGCGTCCTGGCGCTCACCCTCCATCTCTCCAGCGGGCTCTTCGCGTGGGGGATGGGGCCAGAGAAGGAGCCTCGGAGTTTCAGTTGATGATCCAAGGGAAAAAAAAAAAAAGTCACGAGATCAAAAAAACCAGCGGAAGACGGTGGAACATGAGAAAGCAATGCTGGGTCTTTGCTTACCCCTCCCCCCACCAGAGAGGTCCCGCACTCAAAAACAACAGAGCACACAGAAAGGAAAGTATAATTTATATGTACAACCAATACACCTGATACAGAAGAGGGGGTTGGGACAGCCCGGGAGTGGGTGTGAAGAGACCGGGAAAGGGGCAGCGAGAAAGGGAAGGGGCCACGAAGAGGAAGTGGGGGGTTCGCCATGCAAACTGCCACTCTCCCCGGCCCCTCCTAGGGGGGAGGACATGCCCATGTCTCCCCCACCTGCCCTCTGCTCTTTTGTTCTGGTCCCGAAGGCAAGGCAGTCCAGCGACTACGTCCCCTGCCTGATCCACTCAAATTCAGTCCGTATCGAGGCCTTCAGGAGGGAGGGTAGAAGTACTCCAAGGACCCGAGCCCCTGAGCTGGGGGCTCCCCCACTGCGGGCCTGTAGCGTTTTCTCCCGCCCTTTCTAGGCGACCCGGGTCCCTAGAACAGATTGGGGAGCTCCTCTTTGGCTTGAGGGAGTATCGCCCAACCATCACTCTCTTTGGGGGGGGGGGGTCCCTGGTCCCTAGGGGGAGGGGGGGCCCCCCCCCCCCCAACACAACATGCCGTACGCACGAGGTCACTGAGCCAGGGAATGGCGCCTTTATTCTGAGGCTGAACAGCAATCGACTCCCTCCCCTGCAACTGCTCCACCCTCATTTCGGGGAGAGGAAGGGGAAGGAAACATGCAGCTCCCCCCTCCTCTTCCCTTTCTCCCTCTCTAAAGTCCCCTTCCTCTCTTCAAAGCTCTTCCCACCAAAGTTCCTATAGGACCGGCGAGGCTGATGCCCCACGTCTGTAGATGGAGCTCGGACTGCAGGGGTGAAGGTGGCCGCTCCGCCTCTCTCCCCCCGAGCACATCTTGGGAAGTCCCGCGTGTTCGGTGGGGGGTGAGGATACTTGGAAGACCCTGCTTCACCGCCTCCCACCCAGACCTCTTCTCACCAGCACAGTCTTCGAAGCGCGGTGGGAAAGGTGCAGGGGAGTGGAGAGAGACAAGGGGCCCTTCTCAAAGGAGTCGTAGAGGGGGGCAGGGGGGGCGCCTAGCCCAGAGGTGGCCCAAGGGGTGGGGAAGGTGGAGGATTGGCAGCAGGTCCCAGAGCCTGAGCTGGGGGTCGGCCTCGGGCACGGGGCCTGGGTGATGTGCTGGCCTGGGAGCCCATCAGTCGTCTATACAGATCACCTCCCCGGCTCGGGGCTCCTTCCGATCCAGCCCGTCTGACACCAGCGCCCCCACCATTTCCTTCTCCTTCTTCACCAGCACTGGAGGGCCGTTGGTGGCGGCTGTTTGGGAAGGGGGCAAGGGCGTGAACCCCAGCTTCACTCCCAAACGCGGCCTCTTGACCGTTAGCATGTGACAGCTAGGTTACCTCCTGCCTCTGCTACTTAGTTCCCAGGGCAGCAGGGATGGGAGCAGGGCGAACCCCTGTCCCTGGGAGTCCCGATGCCCACGACAGACCCCCGTGCTGACTCTCCCCACACCCCCTTTCCGAGCTCCGATTCTCCTTCCTGGAGGTAACCCAGGTGGTGGGGGAGGCAGGGGAAAGCCACTGACACCTTTGGTGGCATTTCGGACAGTGGGAACGGAAGAGAACTCGGGGGTGGGAAGAACAAAGACCAGAACGACTCCGTTCCGTAAAACCGTAGAAACTCGCAAGGAAGCGAGATGGGCTAGACCGGCAAAGGGGGGCTAGGCAGGGCCGAAGCTCGGACAAGCAGGGAGCGGGAGGGCACCGGCTCACCTGTGATGAAGGAGCCTGCAGGCATCTGGCTGTAGTTGGCGCCGGCGGCGGCCAGGGCCCCGACGGGGGCGGCGCTGAAGGCCGCCCCGTACCCCGGAGGCGTAGCGTAGGGCCCCGGGGGAAAGGCCTGGAAGAGAGCGCATGCCCCCGTGAGAGGCTCCGAAGTCCGAGGGGACAACAGGGGCCCCGCTCCGGCACTCCCGAGGGGATCACATACAGGCGGGGAGACTCAAGGGTGAGGAGTGTGTCCCAGCAAGTCGTTCCTCCACACCGTCGAGAGCTGCCGGAAGCGTGTGTGTGGGGGTCGGAGGAGGACCAGCAGGGACAACTGGAGTTGGGGGGAAAGAGGGTTACCGGTGTGGGGTGAGGCTCCGTGCCCTTGCTGGCCAACCGGCTGAGGATGCTGCGCTCGGACATCTGCAGGCGGGCTGCGATGGGGGGGATTCGGGACAGCGTGGCCGGCAGGCGGGTCACGTCCGCCTTCATGTCGCTCAGCACCTCCTCCAGCTGGTTCAGAACTGGGGCCCGGGCCACGGAGAAAGAAGGGCAAGAGAAAGACAGGGAAAGGGAGGGATGGAGCCAGGAAACGACGAGGAGTCAGAGGAACAGACACACAGAGAAACAGAGAGAGAGAGAGAGAGAGAGAGAGGGAGAGACACCACGGAACCAGAGACCAAGAAGATGACAGAAGGAGACAGAAAGAGCAACTCGGAGGAGAGAAAGAAGGAGAGAGACCAGATGAGCAGAGGACAGATGGAGAGAGAGCACAGGACACGGGAGGCAGGGGGACATCGGGAGACACGGGGCGGGGGGTCGTCAGAACATTCCATACTGCAAGAGTGACGTTTTGGGGGTGGGGATGACGGGGAGGAAATAGGAGACGTGGGAGGCGGTAACTGGTGTCACAGATTTCAGGAGTCGAGGTTTTCATGTGTGAGGGGAAGGGAGATTAGAGAATCAGCATTACAGATTCGGGGAATTAAAACAGGAATCCAAGGGGCCAGGAGTCAGTTGCTAGTCGAATAGGGTTAGACAGAGAGGTCTGGAGTCGAATCTATCATCATC